GTGGCTGGCGCCTTAGCCGGTTGAGCTATAGGCGCCGAGCCAGGCCTCTGTGTTTAAACAAGACACGCCTCTGGGTGCTGCTGGTGTTCATTCAAATGTGAAAACTGCTGTCTCAAATCACTTATCTTTACAACTCTGCAAGTGAAGGTATCTTACTATCCCCATTTGACAGATAAGAAAAATGAGGGCCAGAGAGGTGGAGAAAGTGCCTCATGGCTGGGCAGCACCTGTGGCTCAAAGGAGTAGGGCGCTGGCACCATATACCAGAGTGTAGCAGGTTCAAACCCAGCCCTGGCCAAAAACTGCAAAAAACAAAAAAACAAAAAGAAAGAAAGAAAGTGTCCCATGGCCACACGGCTGGTAAGAGGTATAGTTTGGTGAGACCTCGTCAAGGCCTGGTCTCTGCTTTTTAACAGGGATGTGGCCTCCATGGTGACCGCCCTTCCTTGGCAGGGTTGGGACTCTCCTCTGACTCTTTGTCAGTGATCACATCTCCAATCCCTCTGCTTCCTGACACACTTACCATTGGCCCAGCCCCTACTATGGTTAGGGTCCCTCTGGGCTCAGCCTAGCTTCTCCCCTTCCCAGCGCTCTCACACACCACCCTGGCCAGCTCCTGCAGGGTCATATCCCACCCAGAGCTCCCTGAGAGCTGGGTCTCTCAGTTCACAGGTGCCTCCAAACAGGTCCTCTTGCGGGGCACCCTTGCCCAGTGACGCCACTGTCCATGGGTTATATACACTGGAAACCAGCAAGTCGTGCTAGACTCTGTCTCTCCCTCTGCTTGCCACCACCTTCTATTTGCACCCCTCTATCCCAAACACACCTATGTGCCACCCTCCTGGCCTATGGACTCAGGTGCAGGGTGGCTGTAAGGGATGAGCCTCTGGGCACTCTGGCCCCTTCCCCAGCACCTAACTAGAAGTGGGGAGCCTGGCTGAACCCATAGCACTGCCAGGTGAATGTTCAGCCTTGCCCCACCCCCCGGACAGTCTGTGTTCAACTTAACCTGTTTGTCCCCAAAACCTGGCTCAGCCTTGGGAGCAACGTGGATCCTGGTGCTGGCTCTGCAGGGACAGCTGGGCAGGGCCATAGGCTCTGATCACTCCAGACCCCTCTGCTCTCTTCTGGACTGCAGCCTTCCCACCCTGGCCCCTATTCCTAGTGAGGACACCTTCAGGCCATCACAGTGCAGCTCACACGGCAGGGCCCAGGACAACCCCTCTCTTTCTTGGCCCCAGAGTTTCAAGGAGGCAACCTCAGCTCTTTGGGTGAGGGGAGGAGTCCAGCTTTGCCCTGGACCTGAGGCAGCCCACAGTGGGTTGGCAGACACTCTTGAGGTGAATGGCCTTAAAGTTTGGTCTTTCGGAGTTCGCCCCATGAAACCCAGAAATGGTGATTTCTCTTAGCTTTTCTGTCACTCCCGCTTCTTCCACCTGACTGCAGGGAAGCTGCTGAGACCTCCTTGAGCTCTACTATGTCTCTATTGTATGTTAAGGACAGAGTCTCCATGCTGGCTTCTGCCTACTGCTGTATGTCACCAAGGCCATCACATATAACCCATCCTATTGCCCTTTTTGACTGGGATGTCAGGAAGCTCAGCCTGATTTCTGTGCTCAAACACAACCTAGATTTCCAGTATAAATGTTTCCCCCTATACGCTCTTCCCTGACCACCTCAAGTCCTTGCTTTGGCATCCCTACCCCTTGCCCATCTGCCTGCTGGTATGCTTGTGCCTCCCAGCTGACAGGAGCAAGACCTCTTGCCCCCCTGAGCTGGAGGCTGGACCCACACTGACCTGGTATTCGGGGGCACCTGATGGGAACAGGGCCCACCTGTCTCCAGCAGACATCCTCAGTGATGTCTTTGTTCTCTCTGAGCTCAGAGGAAGAGAGACTATGAAAAAGAATTTCTTCTGACAGGAAAACCACAGCATTTTAGGTTTGTGACAAGTGGGGGTGAGGCAGGGCCATGAGGATTTAAACCTGTGCCTCTGAGGAGGCCGTCCTTGCTCCCCAGAAACCGCAGACAGGAGCACAAGAAGCTGGCCCAGCCCTCCTGCCTGTCTCCCTGAGTCCCCCTGCCAAGGGCTGGGGAGCAGCAGGGGAGGCAGGCACAGGCTTCTGGGGCAGGCGGCATTGCAGGCCGACCTTGAGGGACCGGTGGGACTGGGTAGCAGTGAGCTCTGTCAGCAATATCCACAAGCCCCTAGAATACCTCCACCTGTCTTTACAATGCACTGAAAGGGCTGTGGGGTCCCCTTTAGGGACCTGGTCTGATTTGTGCCACCTCCCCGGAGATGCTTGCTGAGATAACGTGTGAAGGAGGTGCTTGACCAAGGCATTTTAGGATTTGAAAAACCTCCCTTGACTCTATGTGGTCTGAGCCTCCAGGCCTGAGCAAGGCTGCTTGGTGAGTGGAGGTCAGGGGACAGAAATGTTTTATCTTCAGGCAGCTAATCTAACCAGCTCTGCCCTCTCAGTGCTATTTATGGGGTCATTTAAGCCCCTGCCCCCGCAGTCTTTCCACTCCCTAGCCCGCTGCTGAGAACCAGCATCCCACAGACCCAGGCAGCTGGGGGCCACAGGGAGGCTGGGACTTCCCAACCTGGGGGCGACCACCAGCCCCCACACTAGGCAACCAGGCCACCTTTCCCAAGAGCCAACACACAGCCCCCCACCAGCCTCCAAGATGAGGAAATGCCACAGGGGTTGTGACCATCTCTCATGCTTCTCACAAAGAACCTTCCAGGGGTGACCTGCTCTAGTTAAGATTATGGCGGGGGTGAAGGGAGGGTATCTGGGAGCCTTTCCTGGAGGAGGTAAGAGCATGAGAGAGCCCTGAAGGGAGGCAAAGGCCTGGGGATGAGAATGAAGTCACCTTCGTTATACTTTGTTTTAGTTCTTTAATCCATGTGGGTAGTCTCAGGGATGCACACAGCAGGTGCTCCATAAGTGCCTGCTGACGCAATGGGTGGACTACGGATGCTTGGGTCCCAGTTACAGAAAGGAATGACTGAATGGTCTTGCCACATCTGTCACCCGGGTCAATGGCAACACTTGCTATATGCCCGCTGTGTGCAGTAGATGAGTCGGGAGCTGCATTGGCCGCAGCCCTAAGAGGCAGCAGCTGAGCAGGATGGGTTCAACTCCTGTCCCGGTGCTCATGGCTCAGAACGTGCCCTGTACTTGCCACCTGTCTGTGCCACCAGCCTCTGGGTAAGCTCTGGCCAGTACTCGTTCTTCCCAACCCTGGGAACCTTTGTGGCAGGGTCTGCTGGGCCCCAGGGACCTTGTCCCTGTGGACCTTATTTCTGCCTTTCCAGTTTCATGGGCTTGGCACTCTCTGCCCGGGCTCCAGCTGCTGCCCTGACACTGACTCTGCTCCCTACCTGCAGCCTGGCCCCCTCTCTCCGACCCCAGGGATACCCAGTCTCCATCTCTCTATGCAGCGCTCCCCAAGGGCCCTTGACTCTGGGCCAGGGAGGGGCTGGGTCCAAAAGGAAATGGACTGGGCCCAGCCAGGCTTCTCAGCCTAAAACTAAGCAGGCAACTCCCCTGTGTCTGACGCCTAGAGGGCTGGGGTCTGTGGGGCCTGCTGGACTATGGGGACCCCCCTGCTTCCTGAGCATCACAGTGGCTGGGCGCTCTTTGCTTGTCAAGGTGACTGCCCAGAGCATCCCTTTGGGCTGACATCCCCTTTCACAAGCAGGGACCTAGGACTCAGATGGGGAGGACCACCAGGGTCACACAGGAAGTCAGCGAGGGCACCCTCTACCCCACCTCACCTTCCGCAGCTATGTTGGGGATCAGGGTCACCCAGAGCCTCTACCTGGCCACTTCCTGTTTCTAAAAGATGGAACCAGATACGGTGTCCTTCCCCTTCCCACAGCCCACTCAGCTCCCAACCCACATTTGTCTTTGTTAGTGGCTTCTCCCCTGCTCTGCATCCCGTGTGACTCACAGTCCCCTGAGCATGCCTCACACCAGCCCCTCCAGCCTGTGGAATCCTTCCCCACAAGCTTCCCTCTCTTTCTGGGACAATTCTTGTTTTCCCAGTGGGCTAGAGGGGCTCCTTCTGCATCATGCTCTCCCAGCCCCGCCCAGCACACACCTCAGTCCCACTGGACAGTCCTGGGCCCATCTGCAGGGGAACCCAAAGAGAGGCCCCAGCGGACATCTGTTCATTCCTTACCATGTCTTGAGCCCCTCCTCTGTGCCCAGCCTGCATCCAGCCCTTAGCCTTACCCTTGGGAGAGACCACGTTCTTGTTTATCTGCACAACAGCCCATTAGTGTGGGCAGATGAGAAACAGAGGTGAAGCAGCTTGCCACCATCACACAGCTCATGAAGGCTGAGCCCAGACTAGAGCTCACACACTCTCTGGTCTAACACGCACACCCTCTGCATTGGGCATTAATTTCCTCAGGTAACACTACTTTTACCTTCTGCTAGACCTTCCTGTGGTTTTGTGTGTGGTTTTTTTGCTTGTTTGGTTGGGGTTTTTTGGCTTCTGGTTGGAAGCAGGAGCTGCCAGGGTGTCCTGTGTCTTTAGAAGACCGAGCGAGCCAGAGCTGCATGTGCAGGTCATCTCTCTAGAGCAGGGCCAGGGCCTGACCTTGGGGGAGCAGGAGAAGGGGGCAGTTACTGCAGCCACACAGGGGCAGGCCTCAGGGCCCTGCAGGAGGAGGATTTTTCAGAGCCCTTTGTCGGCCTGGCGTCCAGTGCCCTGTCTGATCTGCAGTGTGGCTCTATCTTCACCCAGGTGGATAGTTTGTGTCTTCCCAAGGCAGCCCCATCACCACACTGTTACAAAGTCTTCAGCTGCCCTGAAACCCTGTCTCCACGTCCCCCACCTGGCTTAGTAGTCTGCACAGAGTCCTCCAGGGCTCAAGACCCCCAGTTGTGTCATCATGGCAATGCCCCTGGACGCCTCTGCTCTGAGCCAGGTCTGAGCTAAGCCCCTGGACCCACTTAACCCTCTGAGGAAGGTGGTGGTATTATCCCATCATTGGTGAAGGAATGGAGGCACATAGCATGCCAGTGGCCAGCACAAGGTCACAGCTAGCACCAGAACTCAGGTGTGGGCCCCTCCTGGCCCCCATCTCTGGCTTTACCTCCATCCTTGAAGCCCAGGCTGGGGCTGAACCAGTGCTGCAGAAGGCTCAGGCAGCCAGTGGAGGGGCTTCTCACCTGTCCCTATGACCTGGGTGGAGGCCACCCAGAGTGCTGCAAGGGCCTGGGGACCAATGGGCTCTTGCCTCTCTGGTCAGCCCCTTTCCAGTGCTCAGACAGACTGTGGGCTTTTCTGCCCCACTCAGAGCCTGGCCTCAACCAGCATGACCAGCACTCTAGTCCTGTGAACAATCTGGACTCTTCTTGGCCCTACCCAGACTGCCTGATGTCAGGAATCCCCAGACACTGTCTGAAGGCACAGAAAGAAGGGGAGCGAGCCCAGGGCCTGGGGTCTCTTACTTGATCTCCGTCTGGCCGCCTGCCTTCCGGGCGATCTGTACCAGCTCCTTCCCGTAGCGCTCCTCTGCCTGGGCCCTGAGAGAAGAACAACCCATGGGTACTGGGTCTCCTGCAGGTCTGCCAGCTGAGGGGTCCCTGTGAAGTCTGTGGCAGAACCTGAGGACCCACCCGTCAGCCATTGGAGGCAGGCATGGCTCCTTGAAAAAATTAAGCCCCCAGCCCTTCCTGGAAAGAAATGTCCAAATACAGGTACATTTGAAAAAACATCAAGTGATTTGGCCACTTAGGGTAGGTCTGGGAAAAAGCAGGGAGTCACACTCCTGATCTTTTAAAGTGGGGTGCTCTCAGGGCAGCTTGGGAGGGCTGGGGCAGGGGCCTCGGCCCGCCTGCTGGCTCACCTCTGCCTCAGCAGCTCCTCCATGTCCTTGCACATCTTCCTGCCGTCCAGCAGCCGCTGCAGCAGCACCTCATAGCCCGTGTGGGCTGTGAAGTCCCTGCACTGTGACACAGGACAGAGGGACAATGAGGGTCACAGCCGGGTGGCACTGAGCCCAGCCTGGTGGGAATTCCTCTGACTACCTCCAGGAGCAGTCTCCATCCTGCCTCCATCTCCCACCTTACAGGCCAAGCTCTTGGGCCTGGTCTCATAGGCACACAGGGGTCCCTCCCACGTCTGTGCAGGTAATAGGTACATAGTGAAGGTAAGAGGATTCTGGGTGTGTGGCTGAGGGGCTGGTCTGGGAAGTTGGGGGAAGGAGGTAATATTCAAGGATTAAGAGGGGACAGAGGTCCCAGGATATCCTGAGACCCAACAAGTAGGTCCCAGGGCCAGGCTGCCCACTCCAGGTCCTCTTGGGACCCTCACTCCAGGGGCAGGTGAGGGATGTTGGGAGGAGGCAGAGACTGTCAAATCAGGGCAGGCCCTGGGATATGGCATCTAGTCTGTCCCTCCTTTCTGTCCCCAAAGCCTCGCCTAAAACCCCAGAGACTGGGTAAAGAAGCCCCAGTTTCCCCGAGCACACGCATCATACACCATTCCCCTGAGCTCAGAGAGGCAGTGAGGTTCTCCAAGGTCACGGCCACTGACTTGTCCCCCAGATGCAATCTGGTGGTCCTGCTGCTGCCCCATGCCTCCTGCAAATGCCGCCTTATATGTATGTAGTGAGCAGAGGTGGACCCACAATTGAGGAAAGCTTCCTGAGGGAAGAGGCATTTGAGCCAGGTTCTAGAGAGAGTTTTTCTTCAAGGTTTAAGGAGAATCAGACATAGGGAGGAAGGGCAGAGGTGACAGATTGTCCCAACTGGCTACATGTTCTAGCCCACCCTCAGCAGACTCAGAAGGACTGTCCTACACGATGACATAGGGCCCCAGGCTCATGCCCTGCTCCCTCAGCGTCCCTGGAAATTCCTGAGGAGAACCTGACCCAGGTTCAAATGCCCACAAAATGACAAGCAGAGTGTCTGGGCCCTGGCTGGCCACCTAAGGCCCCCAGTGTCCTACATGGCTGTCCAGGAGCTCACATCCACCTTCATGTTCAAGCTGGTGTCACTGGACCAGGCTGGAGCAGGCAGCCACTTGTCTGTTCACCCGCCAGCAGCCATAGCTTCTTGCCCCTCGGCCTCAGCCCACCCTTCAGACCCCCACATCAGAGTCTATGGCAGCCAGGAAGAAAATCAGATCTGGAGCCTCAGCCTCTTGTGCCAGCCTCATGAGGGATCATTTGACCTGGACAGCAGAGTCAGGTCAAGAGGCCACAGACAGATCTCCCAGAACTGGGAAGATTCTTGTCCAGTGCCCCTCCATCCTTGGAAATTCGAAGCCCAGAGAAGGGAAGGGCTTGCCTAAGGCCACAGAGCCAGGACAAAATCCAGACCCTTAAGGGAATTAACTCTCCTTCACAGAGGCTCTGGGAGAACCGCAGGGCTCTGAACAGGGCACGCCTGCCATAGCCCCGAACTGCCAAGGAAACCCTTCTTCTGTCCTTATTGAGGCCCCAGAGTGGATAAAGAAGTAAAACCAAACCTACATTGGCCATTCTGGAGGAGGCAGGAAGCAGTGAGGAGCCCTGCAGGCCGGTCCTCAGGAGCTCAAGTCCCCAGAGAGCCGCAGGCTCAAGAATCCTGTCCGGCCCCTGCTCAGACCCACGGAGATGTACACAGGGGCTGTGGTTGCATGAGCCACAGTCACAAGGACTAGCCTGTTCCAAGGAAGTGCTTGACTCTCTAGGGGCTGCTCACAATGCCTCCCAACCCTGCCCCCCTCAGCCTATGCCCTCCTCCACCCCCAGCCCAGCCCCACAGCC